TCATCTTTCCCGATCGATTTTAAAAAAGAAGCTCTCGCGCGACCAATAATCGACAGAAATCAAAGTCTTAACCAGTCTGCGGATGTTTGTGCTAATTAATATTTTCATATGCATGGATAAAGGACAGAAACTTGAATTCAAGTACGTCTGTCTCTGTCTATCAACGCATTTTTATATCATTTTTGTGGTAATGATAAATGGTTTATTATTTGCATTTTTAATAATTGTACATATATTTTACATTCACATTAGTAAGAGCACAGAGATAGAAAGGGTATCGCGATTTGCTTTCTAAATTGTATCTAATAACGGGAGGACCAAACTTTCTTTGGTGATTTTAGGCTCTAAAAAAGTTTCGCCGTGTCCGAGGGTTATTGCGAATGGGCCTCAGAGGGTCCAAAAGAAATTCAAAAAAGACGAATATTTTAATTTCGCCAATATTTTGATCGATTCGCACTGAAAACGATGCCAGAAGTTCACTAAAAAATAGTTCAAAAATTCTAGGTAAATTATTTCTCAAATTATCGTCAAAAAATCGTTTTCGGTACTAACAACATTTGTAAGCAAACTACCCCAGGAACATTTTTTAAAGCAAAAATAACATCATATTAGGATCCAGTACCCAAAAAAACCTATAGATGCCGAATTTCGTGATGATTGGAGAATATTATTTTTATTCCCTATAATGACTCAAGATTGACTTGTCAACTTTAAACGTCCATAACTTCTTCAATTCTTAACCGATTTACTCAATAAAGATATCGTTGGAAAGCTCTTTCAAAGGCCAATAAAAGTTATTTAATGCTAAAAAACGCTCAGACGGCTTGATCACCTTCAAAATTCAAGTCAAATGTCATAAACCTCAAAAACACTTACGAATTTTTTTAGGACCCTTACAATTCTTTTAGAGGGTCACCGATTTTTTTATAGGTACCTATTATAAAGGTGGAGATTCGGTAAAAATTTTATCGAACTCCCATTTCAGGTCTTCGAGTAAAAAAATAAATAGTTGCTAAAACTGCAAATTTCAAGGGGGTACCTTGCCGATTTTTCGACTAAAAAATTTTTACTTTTAGATCTCGCCCAAAATACGGTTTTAAACGTTTTTTGTGGCGAGAAACACGATTCTGAAGTCGGTTCTGAGGTTACATGACCGTGTCCTACCCTTGTAAGTTTTGCGTACCTAACACTAACATTGTAAGTCTTGTATCAGTCTACGGTCTTATATTTTATTATAACATACGTATGTATATACATCAATAGTGACTTCAACCAATCTTTTTACGAAGAAGACAGTAAACAACAACAGATTAGCAGCTTGAATTTTTGTTGAAATTCTCGTTGACTATATCAAGCTTAAAATATAGTTATACTTTCGAGGAGTTATTGAAGTAAACAAAAATAACCATGTTACAAAAAGAAACAACTTCTCGAAAGCATAAACATAATCTGAGTTCGGTATTATCAACGTGAAATTAAAAAAGAAACTCGAGCTACCAATCTGCTATCATTTACTGCGTTCATAAAACCATAACGGTATTATGTCAAATAACATGTTACTTTATTTTATAATTATTCGAGACAATTGTTTGGAATAACTGCAAAATTGTTCCTCAAATTAATTCAGATAATCGACATCCTATCGTATTTTCAAATAACTGCATCGAAACTATCGGGTCGAAACGAATCATTTCAATTAGTTATTTCTTGTTTTAACTCCAATTTGCTTAGATCTAGCTTACGCCACATTTAAATTTCACTACAACTTCTTTCTTCGTGTCCGTGTATCTTCGTGTCTAACGTATGTTCTAACAAGAAATACAGAGAGTGGAAAATTTACGATAAAGTGAAGGAGTTGGTCTTTGAACTCGCACTAGGAGTCCGTGGGCCCGATTCCCACCCGTTTCTGAAATCGAAACTTCATCGCGAATCTCGAGGCTAGTCGGTGCTTCCTCGACGATTAACGGTCTGCTACGAGCACGGACACGCGCGCATTCCTATTCGTGCTTTCGAAATTCATTGGTTCGCCCTTACGCAACGTTTGTTCGAGTCGCTTTTTCTTTCATTACCGTTGCTAACGCCGGCCACGGGTGGTTCCAAGTCCCAAAAACGTGGCCGAAATTAACACCAAGACTGCCGAGCCAGTGGTTTTTACCCAATGCGTTACGAAACTCTCTTTTAAAGTCGATTTTTAGCAACAGGTTCGCCACGGTTATTATAACAGAAGACTAATTATAATATAATAATCTAATTATGTAATATAACATTATGTGTTATACATTCACATATTCAAGAGTTTGAAGTGATTCATGGCGTGCACTCTGAAAAATGTTCAACAAATTGCTCCTTAAAAATGAAATACAGAAGACAATAAGACAAATTTCAGTTCGTTAAAATGTAAAGATGAATGGAATATTAAAATACAATGTTATATTGCAAATTTCTATGTTCTAATAGATAAATTGAGAAGCATCGAGTAACTGCATATTAGAAAGCGGAAATTGTACAACGCATAACTGTTACATGCACTACTGTTTCTTTAAAATTATAGGAGGGTCGCATTAATTTACTAATATATTGGATTCATTCATTAATAACTTCTGGTTGTTAAGGTACAATTTATTTTCAGATATGTTATTGGATGATAAATCTCAAACAATTACGTAATCGCCATCGTTGATGATCACTTGTTTCCACATGACAAGCAAATTAAAAATGACTATTTCCAAGGTTAACATGATTATTTTTTACCTGCCAGAGAAAGTTACTTGCGAACCAACGGAATAAATAGTTCTCTGTTACAAAAATTTGCCGGTACAGTAATTGTGTGCCACTTTTAAAAAATTCATTCAATATTTGCAAAATTGCTGCACATTTAGAGTTGTAACTCTGCCAATTCTAAAGACCTTTTTCCTTACATTATTTTTTCTCTGGCAGTGAAAGTTATCTACGAATCAACCGAATAGTTCTCTATCACAACAATTTCCCAGAACAATAATTGTGTGCTACTTATAAGAAATTCAATAAATATTTGCAAAATTGCTGCACATTCAAAGTTGTAACTCTACCAATTCTAAAGATTTTTTTTCCTTGCATTATTTTTTACCTGCCAGAGAAAGTTACCTACGAAATTAACCGAATAAATAGTTCCCTATTACAACAATTTTCCTGTACAATAATTATTTACCACTTATAAGAAATTCATTAAATATCCGCAAAACCATCCAGCTCTCTTTTAGCAAAAATGTCGTCGAATGCGATCAATTAATTACCGATTTTCCGTTGTAAGTTGGCAAACAAGGCACAGTGGTGTATCCGGGGTGGCGAATAAATAGATGAATAGATGAATAAGAAAATAGAGGTCGAAGAGAAAGATGGAGTGGAGGAGCCCAGGTGAAAAAAGCTAACCGCTGCTGCGCCGGGTGGATAATTTCCGTTTCCCTGCTTAGCTCGTTGAAGTCAAGGTCTCGTTAAGGAAAGAGTACCGAATGTCGCGCTGCGCAAACCGTGCGACGTTGATGCAGGTCAAGTTCTGCGAGGTCGCGGCTCGATTTCTCGAGGTTTCGTTTGTTTCGAGAAACGATTACCCGCCGGGTCCCTCGAAACCCTGGGAAACGAATGTTTCGGCAATCGAAATTACACAGTTTCGGTTACGCCAGGCTCAACGTTCTTACAATCCCAAAATTTCTCCTGTGATCCACGATTATTTCACGACAGATGGTGAAACGAAATCCGACGGTCGAACGAAAAGGTCGTTCGACGATCGTCTAACCTCCATCGAAACTAATAGAAAGGTAATAAAGTAATCTATGATAAAGCGCCGGAGAAACTTTCTGCCATTTTCGCGATTAAACGAAACACTTTTTACGAAACTTTTCGTCGATAGGTGTGTTGACGTCTAAATTTTGAATGCGATAAATATCGTTCTTACTTTTATGTTTGTATTTTTCTCAATCCTTGATGAATTACATCAATTTTTGCTTCGATATTCTTCGCACAACTTTTCAACATTCAGAAGGAAATTATTAGTTCGAGTATTGAAAAGAAAGAAAGAAATACATGAAATCAAAGCTTCTCTTCGAGTGTCCACGTTGAGGAGGTACTTCTCTTTCTAGGTCAAAGAATAGATTGTTTTTATATTAGACTAGCTGTGCTCCGCGGTTTCACACGCGTGGAATACTGTTCTTATTCTGTACTAAAAATGTACCCCATGTTTTGGACTCAAAGGTGTCCTAAATTATCTGTATAATTAAAGAACAAGAAATGAATTATAAAGGAAATCGAAAAGAATTGCAACCTCTTTTCACTTCTTCAGGCGTTCAATCTTTTAAAATGCTGAAATAGGTGTTTGATTAATTGTATCAAAGAGCATTAAGACCAAGTTTCAAGCAAATATATATAGACAATCCAGCTACTTAAAGATGCACATACTTGGACCAACATCTAACAATAAGGATAACCACATAAAAGACAGTCGCTAATAACCAAAGTTTGATGCGACGTTAAATATGTAAGGAAAAAAATCTAAATAAATCTTTAGAATTGGTAGAGTTTCAACTCAGAATGTGCAGCAGTCGACCAAAGACTAATGAATAGACTGCGGATGTTTATGCAAATTTCTATTTTTATACACACAGATGAAGAACAGAACAGAAAATGGTTACCCTAAAGTACAGTTCAACCATGTTTTAACATATAAAATATTTCTATCAAATTCTAAGGAAAAGAATAAATCTTTAGAATTGGTAGAGTTTCAACTCAGAATGTGCAGCAGTCGACCAAAGACTAATGAATAGACTGCGGATGTTTATGCGAATTCCTATTTTTATATACACAGATGAAGAACAGAACAGAAAATGGTTACCCTAAAGTAAAGTTCAACCATGTCTTAACATATAAAATATTTCTATCAAATTATAAAAAATTTTAACTAATTTGGTAAAATGATAACCTGATTAAAACTGAAATGTTAACATACTCTCTATTCGATCACGTTTCAGAACAGACGAGACCAATGTCAAATTGCGGAAGACCGATTTGCAGCTGCGGCAGTTGCACTGCCGACCAAAGTAGCAGCTTCAACGACACCATCTGTCCATCGAGATCTCCTCAAAGAATCTGCATCGTACCCCCAATTCGCCAATGGCCCGTATGGAAGTCTTGCTGTCTCCGAAAATACAATTACCCCTGTACGCAACACTCGAAACCACGGCCATTGATACGTTTCAACGATTTCGACTTGGCCTCTCAGTATTGAAGACGTTGCTTGGCGAATAAGCTTTCGCAACGACGAAGACGCGAATCTCTTACGTTCTAATCGACTATTCGACTATATTTGCCAATTTTTCAGTTCTCTGCTAGTTGGTATTCGCGAAAACGCAAGCGCAATCATGTTTGCTATCACCAGCGGGGACATTTTAATCGCTTTGGAGATCGTTTTACGTCTGGTGGTCTTTCTAGGCAGTAGACAAATACTGTTCCTCGTCAAATTCGATCGATACCGTTCATTATTCGAAATAAACGTATTTACTCCATATTTATTAAAAATCTATTACGATGTTATTTATTTAATACGATAAATTATAGCAAGGGAAGAAGAATAAACAAACGTCGGAATGTGAATGTGAATTTTTTAGTTACGAAAAAGACATGTTCTATTTTCACAAATTTATTGCTCGATCAAACGACGGGAGACGGATATTTTTTTGTTCAACTCCAGAATAACCAACAAAATTGGCACCAAAATCCCAGAGTGAGTCACTTGAGCTTCCCTTGTCAGTTATTAACAGTGCTTTCCGATAATAGTACTCATTGTCAGCGATCAATACTGATATTAGTTTTAATATTCGAACTACGGATTCAATATGCAAACTATGAATGCTATGTGAGGTTGTACGAAAGTTTTCACTAAAACGGAATAAATCCACTTGTGCACCGGGTTTGTTGGTGCTTGTTTTGATTGATAAGTTAATTTATATCAAAGATGCAGATATTTACGTTTATTCTACAAAATCAGCCATTTCTTTTCCAACAAACTAATAAACTCCTTTGGCCAAACCCCTTTTTATTATTATTCAATAGTTTAATACTTTGAACAGGTATGCTTCGAGACGTCGGTAGTTTTAGTGTCAAAATGCTTAAGAAGTATAACGTTCGTCCCGATCCTCTAACACTGCAGCATAGTAAGGTGTTTCGATACGCTTGTTCGCGCGAGTCACCACTTTTAGTTGCTGAAAATTGACTTTAGGAACGGATCGCCCGCTATGCTTGTCGCAGCTCTATCTATCCCTGGTGAAAATGGAGACGCCCAGACGCGACTATTATATCTTAAAAATCGTCGGGAAGATCGAGTTTAATCGACACGCGAGACGTTTTTTCCTCTATCCTTCCGACAGACGCAGACGCGTCCGACGCACGCAGCCCAGACGCAACGTAGACGCACCGAGTGATAAGCGATAAGAAGGTCACGAATCTATATGTCCAGTCAGTAACTTTGAGCTTCCCCTTAAAGCGGTGTCCTTTCATTTTTACCAGTTTCGAGGAAATTTTCATGATCTTTTTTGCAGCCGAAGGAATTGACATAAACTTTTGAAACTTTGTACGATTATTTATGTCTGTATGCGTTATTTCTATATGCGTAATTAAAGGGACAAATATCGAAAGAAAGTTTATAAAGTGACGGAACTTTAAACTTGCGCCATCGATTGCTTCAGACAATTCATACTTTTAGTAATTCGAAAAAGAATAGTGATATTTTAATTCATTAGGTTGTTCCAAAAGTTTCTTTCTTTCTATTAATAAGTAATACATACACAATATCTTATGTCTAATGTTACATTATTGAATTGCGTACGATTCATTTTGCTTCATTACTGTTATAACATCAATATCTCAGAAATTAGGTTGTCTGTTTATATATACACTGCCACACAAAATAACTGACGAGGCAAGCTTTTTAGGTGTCCGCCTCCGATTGTTTTGATTTTTGGATATGTTTTAAAGAATCGAAGAACAAGATATACGTATCTTTTTTATTATGGTCCGTTTTCATATTTAGGGGGTGAAACGACCCCTAAAGTTTCAGCTGCAATAGACTACCTCCGAAACTATCATAGATAGAAGAAAACTGCATGAAAAACTTTCATGGTTTTCTGCATATAAAATCTGGCCCTAAATTTTCTACAAATTAATTTGTTTATAATGATAAACCACAGTTAGTGCAATAAGTATTCGTACAGCAACCAATTTAAAATAAAATTAATAAAAAAAGAAACAAGACATTAACATTAAAAGTAATAAACTTTACGTAAAATCTACTTGAAAAATACGTAGCTACGTTGGTCAATTATTTCTTCCCCAAGAAATTATTAATAAAATATATATATGAAGTTTTATTATTACGGTCCGTTTTATTTCGAATTGGTTCCTGTACGAATACTTATTACCAGACCGCGGATCTTTATGCACTTGTAGGAAATTTAAATGTTCAAGAATACAAACTTTTTCAATCTGCAAAATCCAAACAATATGCAAAAATCTAAAAAAGATTGAAAGTAAAGTTCATATTATAATATTTGCAGAATAAAATGAATTCCTATTTAGGTTCAATGTTTGTAAGCACGTATTTTATTTTGCGTAAAGATCCGCAATCTACTTATTACACCGACTGTATGAGTCAATAGCACTCGAAAGGTTAATAATTAATACGTATGTATATATTCAGAAGATGAAAACTTGAGAAACCAGAACCCTGCGATAATCCGGAGAACAATAAGGGAAGAAATGACAGACGATGCTCTCCCGTCAATCTCGACAAACCACTTTCCCTTTCCGCAACCGTATTTTCGAATGTCGCTTAGTAAATGCGGAAGCTTCGAAGTCGCGAAACGTTATGAAATTTCGCGAGAATGTGGACATATACAGGGTGTTTCCTACTTTTCCGGCAAGATTGTACGAGCATGATCTACAAGTGAAAACAAGGAAAAAAAATGTTACACGAAGTTTGTTTATGAACGCTTTGTTACTATATTACAATAAGCAAATATCGAATGTGACTTCTTGTTATGGGGAACGCTAAAACTTTTTGACTTCTACTTACGGGAAACGCTAGAACCGAAAGTTTCTTCCGTGACTTGCACTCGCAAGGAAAGCTTTTTAGATGTCTGCCTCTGACTGTTTTGATTTTTAGATATGTTTTAAAGAACCGAAGAATAAGATATACGTATTTTTGTATTTTCGCCTGTTTCATATTTAGGAGGTGAAACGACCCCCTAAAGTTTCAGCTGCAGTAGGCTATTATTATAAACAAATTACTTTGTTACAAAATTTAGAGCCAGATTTTATATGCAGAACAGAAGGTGTACAGTATAGCGGTAAGTACACGTGAAGAATTGACTCAACGAATTACTAATTCAAAATGTAATACATTCCGTATTGCATCGATGTCAAGTTTGTATCGATGCAGAAGGTGGTCATTTTGAAATGATAATTGAAAAATTCTTAACGATCCTCGTACGTTAAGAAATATCTCGTAAATGCAGGCAAAGTAAACACAATCAACTTTCGCTATAGATACGTAGCTACAGCTCTTGAGTGCAAACAATAAAGAAGATACCATCGTTAGTTTCTAACAAAGGAAGTTCGGCAATTGACGTATACAGAAAAATTTGAATTTTTGCAGAAATAAAGTTCATGGGAACCTAATGACAGTACCCTTTTCCAATTTAGCCCAAAAATAGTTTAAAGAATGGAAACACTCCTTCGAAAGGATGCTGGTTATTTATATTTTTGCTAGTATCTCTAAATCCATAAGGGATATTGAAATATATTTAATACAAAATTTAATGATGTCTAACATTCTATAACATGATAGTAAGAAATAAAAAAAATGTATTTTTAATGACACTTCCCCCACCATTAATTTTCTGGACATTTTCATACTGTATAACTTTCATCTAACCAATTTGTTACATCTGTTACCATATTTGAGTTACTGTAGAATATAGAAGCGAATCCTGTACTATATGCAGACAGCCAGTATTCTCGACTAAAATTTTAAAAAATCATAACTCTTGAATGAGTAAACGAATCTCAATTATCAAAACGAGAATCTGCGTATCGTTGACTGAAGAATTTTTAAAAAATATAAAACTACTCCCAGAGTCTATTTTTTAGTTCTTTTTGCCAGAATGATATGTAAAAAGTTGCTTAATTCTCGAAAATTCGTAGCTTCCTTAGTACTGAACATTTTGGATTCGAATTTCTTTTCTTTGTAGATCCCATGGAACCGTATAAAAAACATATACAAAGTTTTTCTCTGAACTGAAAACCCAATTATTTAAAAATGAGAGAACGATTTTTTTAAGAATTCACAAAGACTCCATCGATTTTTGTCAAAATCTAAATTTCTTTATAAAAATTATTTTTCACTTCATCGATCAAAATGAAGCATATTTTGTTGAATAACATATAAAAGCAACTTGAACTTTTTATAAGAAGAAAATTCCTAAAGAAAATAAGAGAAATGATTCTTAAAAAAGCGATCCTTTGAAAAAATATTCATTTCTCGAAAAAATATATTTGACAACAATTTCATATCTCATCTAGACGTACAACTTTTGTTGAAAACATTTTTCAACATCTCTTATGATTTCCGAGATATTAACAAGAATATAAATAACCTGAATTATTTCGAAGGAGTGTTCCCACCCGTGAAATCGTTCATGGACCAAAATAAAAAAGGACACTTCGAACTTTATTTCTTGCAGAAATTCAAACTTTTCGTCGTGTATCAATTGCCGAACTTCCCTTGTGAGAAAACAAAACAGCTTCCAACGCGTTACACAGTGCGCCCAGTGTCCAGAATGCTCTGGAACGCTAAAAGACTGCTTTCCTCTTAAGCAAATTATTCTATCACGTAGTCGTGAAACCTCGTTCCTCTTGCTTCGTCCTCGGGTAAGTCACGTTCGTCGCAGTTTCTCTGCTTTCTCGAAATATCGACGCCCGGACACCGCGGCGCTCGAGGAGGAAGCAAGGACGATAAAATGAGATCTGCCCGGCCGATGAACTACCCTTCCGTCCTTGAAGACGAGCAGTATCGAGACGCATTTACCTATGCATACACGTAACTCACTCGTCCCCCCGTTCCCCCCACCGGTTCCACGACATCAATTCCAGGTACCAGGATTCTACCAAAAATCTAACTGGCTGTTTTGCGTCTAGAGAGTCCCGCTTTCACGCCCGCCGGGCTTTTTCGTCATTAACACGACCAACTCATAGTGATTCGTAACTAGCCTGTAAAACTATTTCGGAAATGTGAGTTAAACCTGTTCACTGGGTGTTGCGAGAGCCCTTTGTGGCTTCGGGATGTAACGCTTTCGTTTGCCATCGCGAAGATTCAAGAAATACGGTGGAATTCCCATAATCTGGCATCTAATAATGCGGCATGCATGGATACGATCATAAACGTGCTTTTCGAATCGTTGCGAGTTATGTTTCGCGTAAGGGTCGTTCGTTCGCGTGGCGCTGCTTCCTGCATGGTAGTCTTGGACAAAATTTGATTCAATTT